AAAAATGTTGGTCTAAAATGTTTACCCCGATGAATTGGGTTCTGATGACTTTACATCTGATTTAGAATATTTATGATGTGTGGTATGGGCCTATTTTGTGTCTATTAGTTCTGAATTTTTGTAATTTATTATCGATAAGGTACACACTGTTGCAAGAAAAAAAAGTTGGTCTAAAAGGTTTATCCCAACATTTTTCGCGGACCCCCTGCGAACCCTTTTAATTTGGCGGACCCCCAATTATTTTTCGAAACCACTGACCTAATATAACAGTTGCTATACAAGTATTGAAAATAATAATTATTATTTATCATACTCTTCATACAGTTTTTTTCTCTGCGAACTTTTCAGTTCGTTCGGTACACCGCAATGCGAACTGCTCATCCATTTCGCAAATGTTCAGCCGCCTCTATTACTTCACATATAGACTAGGAAAAAAAATAAAAAAAGAGGCCTAGAAATCAAGTTAGGGGGAGTGGAATGTTAGAAGCAGTCAACATAGCCAGATATCCTAATTAATCCGCCCTGGTCACCCTAAGCCTTGTTGACACTTGATTTTTCACCTGGTATAAAAATGGCGGCCATTTTTCAAAATGGCCGCCAAATTTATCTAAAATGTGTATATAATTGTAACTAAATAAGCTACAGATATGATGTTGGTGTCTAAAATCCTAATTTCTATACATGCAACAAACCAGACATATAAAAACTACTGTCACTCATGCCAGAATGGAACATAATTCAAAAATAGGTGTTTATTTGTTTTAAAATATCCGCAAAATATACTTAAAATGTGTATAAAATAAGAATAAGTATATAAACTCACCAAAAAGTAGTCGTGTTGGTATCGTTGGAAAGCTCTTCCGATGCTGAATAATGTATTGCAGTTTATATATCAGAAACGGTGTAGTGTTTCATGTGTTGTCCCATAAAGTCCAATTATGGCATATCATAATAAAATAAACAGGACCCATTTGCGTAACTCATGAGCTCTCTGATGGCGGGGGAGGGGGGTCCAAGTCCGGGGTCCAAGTCCGAGTCCAAATGCGCCCTGGAGAGGGCCCTGGAGAGGGTTAGATACTTTTACTTACAGTAACACTGATACTCAGCACTCTCCTACAACGCCTTAACAATACGTAACATTTTCTATAATTTCCGAAAAAACCAAATAGACCAAAA